GGCCCTACCCTGAGCGTGACTGAGGGTGGCATCGCAACCTCCCGATCCGCCCTGCTCTGTGCATGACAGGGGGCAGCGCCCCAACTCCCCAATCGGCCCTGCTCTGAGCCTGACCAGGGGCTGCACCTAGGGATTGGGCGTGCCCTCTGCCACCCGGGAGCAGGCCTAAGCCAGCAGGTCGTTATCTCCTGAGGGGTCCCAGACTGCGAGAAGGCACAGGCCGGGCTGAGGGACCCCCTCTCCCCCCTGAGTGCACAAATTTTTGTGCACCGGGCCTCTAGTATATATATAAAAGCCTAAGCAACCATAAACCATTACCACGGAATGACCAGAACGACTGGAATGTCCAGTCGCTATGACACACACTGACCACCAGGGAGCAGATGCTCAATGCAGGAGCTGCCCCTAGCCTGCAGGCTTTGATCACTGATGGGGCCTGCCAGCCAACCTCCGGGTGCCTCCCCATGACCAGCAGGCCCTGATCGCCCAATCGGGGCCGGGCCCTCTGGCTGAAATGGGGAACCGGGGGTGGGTGTCAGCGAACATGGCCCCTTTTCCAGGGGAGTTGAGGGCTGGCTCCCTCCTCTGGGCTGGCAGCCAACCTCCTGAGTCCCTCCCCCTTGTCGGCAGGCCCTGATCAGCCTGCTGCCCGCCCACCACAGTAGCAGTTGGCCCCTCCCCCTTGTCGGCAGGCCCTGATCAGCCTGCTGCCCACCCACCACAGTAGCAGTTGGCCCCTCCCCCTGGCTGGCAGGCCCCAATCACCCAATTGGGGCCTGCTGGCCAACCTCCTTGTCCCTCCTCCCAGCCGGCAGGTCTCAATCACCTGATCGGGGCTGGGCCCCGGCCTGGGACAGGGAACTGGGGGTGGGTGGTGGTGGATGCAGGCAGCAAGGAAAGGAGGAAGGGAGGAGGTGGGGAGGCAGGGAACTGTGTGGTGGCAGCGTGCAGGCCACGAGGGAAGGAGGAGGCGGGGAGGCAGGAAAACTGATTGGCCCTGATCGCTGGCCAGGCCAAGGGACCCCACCCGTGCATAAATTTCGTGCACCGGGCCTCTAGTTAACAAATAAACAAAAAATAAATCATTTGGTTTCTCCAGGTTATGTTTCTACCTAGTGGCTTACCATTTCCTCTCTCCTCTTCCTGAAAGGAGGGGAAGTGTCAATCATGATACGCTTCTTGTAGTTATTGTATCATGTTCATTCACTTCTCCCCTCATAACCAGCAGCAGTCAGTTCAGGAGTCATGCTCTCCAGAAAGCTTTTCCCTATTTCAACCCCAGTCTTGGTTAAGTGCCAAAATATTTCATATTACTGGATTGCAAAATTTTCTATTTTATCTTCCATCTCTGCTCAAGACATAAACTCCCTTAGGTAAGGGAGCTATGATGGTTAATTTGTGTCAACTTTCTTAGGCTATGGTGCCCAGCGGTTTGGTCAAACACCAGTCTAGAAGTTCTTGTGAAGATATTTTTTAGATGTGATGAACATTTAAATCAGTAGATTTTGAGAAAAGTGAATTACCTTCTATCATGTGAGTGGTCCTCATCCAATAGTTAGGCCTTAAATCAAAGACTAAAGTTTTACAAGGAGGGAATCATCACTACCACATAGAAATGCTCCTTGAATTTCCAGTCTGCTGCCTTGCAGAATCCATAGTCAAGACTGCAACATTGACTCTTTTTTTAAAAAAAATATATTCTATTGATTTTTCACAGAGAAGAAGGGAGAGGGACAGAGAGCCAGAAACATCGATGAGAGAGAAACATCGATCAGCTGCCTCCTGCACACCCCCCACTGGGGATGTGCCCGCAACCAAGGTACATGCCCTTGACCGGAATCGAACCTGGGACCCTTCAGTCCGCAGGCCGACGCTCTATCCACTGAGCCAAACCAGTCAGGGCAACATTGACTCTTACTTGAACTTCCAGCCTGGGGGCCTACCCTACAGACTTCAGATTTCCAGCCCTGACAACCATGTGAGACAATCGTTTAATGCCTTAGAATAAATCTCCATCTCTCTCCTTCCAGGGTGGGGCAAAAGTAGGTTTAGGATTGTGAGTGCATGAAACAGCTTATTCTTGTATTAACATTTATGAATTATTGTACTATTTTCCATACAAACAACTGTAGACCTACTTTTCCCCCACCCAGTGTGTGTGTGTGTGTGTGTGTGTGTGTGTGTGTGTGTGTGTGTGTGTATTCTATTGATTTTGTTTCTCTGGAGAACCCTTACTAATACTAATACAGAAGATTTCTATTTTAACTATTTTTGTTTCTGTGTCTAGAACCTAGCACAATAATTAAATGAAAATTTTAATCTAGCTTGAAATCATTCTCCCTTAATAAAGAGGACTTTGCAGTGCAGAGACAAGGCGCTGGTTTTAGGGAAATACTAATGAGGTTACCTGACACCAGGTTCCTAGCATATCCCTGAGCACCTCCTCCCCAACCCCGATTACTTGACCATCTGAGGCATAATAAAAAATAATGAGGAAAATATAAATTTTATGAGCCTATTTATTCAGTTTTGAATGCTGGAAACACATTATAAAGACTCAACCAGCACAAGCCCTGTGAATTGGGAGTGATTGGGTTGCAGCCTAGTCCCTTCTGAAAGGAGACTGCAGGATCAGCTTCTCTTCTAGAGAGATGAAAACCATGACGCCTTTCTCTGTTTGTTCCATCTACTCTTTTTTTGTGTGAGCTTTGATTTTTTAATGACTGATGAGTTACTGGAAAAGATATTGCCATGCCAGCTGCTTTGGCCTGCATGCCATTCAGCATCTGGTTCAAACTCAGCATGTCTTCAGTGAGGGCAGCCAACCTTAGGCTGCCTTCCTGCTGCTTGTTGGACTCCTAGGTTTATGCTAGCTAAACAATGCTCAGTTATTCCATCTGTATGGTAGACAGGAAATACTTGAAAGTCATTACTGAAAATCTCTGAGCATGAAGTCCACACCCAGGGAGTTCTCACCTAAGTGTTGCTCATCACTAGCTCCATCCTCCTGGGGCTCCTCTTTCTGGGTATTACCCTCCTCCATCGGGATCTTCTGCTGAATCTCAGAGGAGGAACTGGGATGGGTGCCAGCCTGTACACAGCAAGAAAAGAGAAATATCTTGATTGGGTAGCTGAAAGCCATGGTGACCTCTGACAACTGACGGTCAACAGAATTAACATCTGAGGAACACTAATTACTTTGAATTTGAAAAACAGACATTCTGGGTCTTCCTATAATCTCACGGCTGACTAGCAACCTTCCTAATGCTGCGACCCTTTAATACAGTTCCTCATGTTGTGGTGACCCCCAACCATAAAATTATTTTCGTTGCTACTTCATAACTGTAATTTTGCTACTGTTATGAATCGTAATGTAAATATCTGATATGCCCAACAATAGATGAGTGGATATAGAAGAGATGGTACATATATACATTGAAATATTACTTGGCTATAAAAAGAGAACTCTTACCATTTGCAATGGCATGGATGGACCTAGAGGGTATTATGCTAAGTGAAATAACTCAGACAAAGATAAATACCATATGATTTTACTTATAAGTGTAATCTAAAGAATTAAATAAATTCATAAACAAAATAGAAACAGTCTCATAAATACAGAGTTCACACTGATGGTTTCCAGAGGGGAGGGAGGTTGGGGGGCTGGGTGAAAAAGATGAAGGGATTAAGAAGTACCAATTGGCAGTTAAAAAATAGTCAGGGGGATATAAAAGCCCAGAATATGGAATACAGTTTATAATATTGCAATAACTATTTATGGTGCCAGGTGGGAACCTTAAATATCAAGGGAATCACTTTGTAAAGTATATGATTGGCCCATATGTTGTATACCTGAAATATTCTAATTAAAAAGTAAAATTAAAAAAGACAACTTTTGAAACATGAAAAAAACCCCACAATGATCATGGGATCTGAATAGACATTTCTCCAACCTGAGATGGCATGAGAGTTTACCTAGAGAACCTGAGAAAATCAACACAAACAATAAAATAAATATTTACTTTTAAGTGCTAAAGATAATGTTAATTTTAAAATAATAAAAAACTTCAGTAAAGCTTCATGAATAGAACAAAGACCATTTTTTTTCTGAAATAATTTGAGAGTAAGTTTTGAACATGGTGCCCAACATCCCTGAATAGGTTAGTGTGTAACCCTTCAGACAAGGACATTCCCTAGATAACCAAAATATAAGGACCAAAATCAGGAAGTTATCATTGACACTTACTAACATGGAATTCACTTTCTCCTTTCAAGTTTCAACAATTATCCCAATAACATTTTTTATAGGATACTAGAGGCGCGGTGCACAGATTTGTGCACATTGAAAGGAAATTAATTAGAAGAAATATTTTAGAAGCCAGGGAGGGACTGCAGGAGATTGGCTCCAGGGCTTGTCCAGCCTGTCTCACCCAGTCCCGATTGGCCAGACCTCAACAGCAAGCTAACCTACAAGTCGGACCGTCTGCCTCCTGGTGATCAATGCGTGTCATAGCAACTGGTCGAACAGTCGAAAGAACGCTTGGAGGGACAATTAGCATATTAGGCTTTTATATATATAGATAAGCTAGGATAATGTCTCTTTGGTCTTTTTTCAGTCTGGAAGAGTGCAGTGTGGGTGGCGTCTCAAAGACTAATTTATCCTCAGTCCCACCCCCTTTGTACCAGGGGTAATGGAAAAGGCAGAGATTAACCTCAACCAAAACCCATCCTGCCAGACATCTAAAATGAATAATTGCTTGAGTGTGTAGAGAGAAGCCTGGAAGTGATGTCATGCTTTTATCTTTTATTTTTATCATAAAAGTTTTAAAGCAGCCAGTAAAAATAGAAATACGTTAAGCCATTCATTCTTTACTGAATTCTTCCTGGATAGAATGTTCACAAGAGAAAATTGCTTCATTTCCAAAAAGTTTTAAGACAGTCTCTCTTACTTTAGATTTAACAGTACATCTGTTAGATAAGTATATGATCCAGTCTGATTGTTTCCAAGTAACTCTTAGTTAAGGAGCCTGTTCTTAGGCGACGTTTTAAATCAACACACAAAGAGCACAACCATTCCCATTGTGTTAGATGTGAGTTCTAAGTAAGTAAATAAAAACTCATTTGACTCTGCCTCAAAGTACTGTTGGGAATTCTCAAAAATCTTTCAGATTACCACTAATTCCATGGGGCAGTAGTCTGAATGTCTTTCCCCTCACTATACTTTTATGATAATCAAATCATTACCTTTCATCCATGTTGACTATCCAAAAGGTTTTAAAAGCATAACAGGTACATACATAGGTAACTCTTGCTGTGCTTCTTTGGTGATAAATATATGTCTTCATTATGTTTTCTAGGAAACCTACCTAGGCACATTACTGGATATTCCTTATTCCAAGAGCCAAGACAGCTTTCTTGAACCAGTTTAAATGATCACATTGAGACTTCCCAGTTTTTTAACAGCAAATTCTAGATTTCCTTGAGCACCAGGGATCCATGCTTCTTGAAGCCCACGCAATGGAAAAGAGTTTATGAATGTAGACATTCTATTTTCTAGTCACCTCTTTGGTGGCAGAATAATCACCATCTCGCCCTCTCCCCTCCGCCCACCCCATTCTTTTTTTTTCTACCTTTATTTTCAAGAATCGTTTTTCTCAGAACAGGTTGGTTAAGAGAGAGGGGGATTATGGGAAGGATCAAATTTCACTTCTGGGTTACCTGGAGACAAGGCACAGGAGGGAGCTTTTTAAAATACAGATTCCTTAACCTCACTCCAGACGTTCTAATCAGAATCTTTGGAGGAGGATCCAATAACATGTATTTTTAAGAAGTTTCCCAAGTGATTCTTCCTTGACTAGCACTGAGAAGCTGTGTTCTCCCTGTATATTTAGCAGAATAATCACTAAAAACTAACTTAAAAAAGCTTTGGAAATGATGCTGTCTATATCCCCTTCTTTGAAAGCTTTTATGGAAACATCTATTTAATTCTGTATAATCTAGCATTTCCCAAATTTATTTGTGCATAACACATACCTTTTTTTGTTGTTGACAAAACACATATTACTATTGCACACTCCAAAACACAGACTTTGTGAAGTATTGGCTTAGAAAATATGACTTCCCCTGTCACTCCACTTCATTAACAGAGTCAGCAACTCTTTAATGTTTGTTAACTCAGTAATGAACATAACCACAGCTATTCATCAGGACAATTACACAGGTTTCATAAGGCCTTTGTGCCCAATATTATTCTTTGGCTCTTCCTCTGCTTACTCCTAAATATTAGATGTTAAAAATTCTGACAATAGTTGTGTAATTTGTACGCACTGGTTGCTTACTATGAGCCAGGCTCTCTTCTAAGTACTTTGAAGGCATTATCTCATGGTCCTCTAAGTAGTTTTATAATTATTATTACTTTTTTTAAAATATATTTTTTATTGTTGATAGTATTACAGATGTCTCCCATTTCCCCTCCCTTATCCTTCCTCTTCCCAGCCCCTACCCACCCACCCCCAGGTCTTCACCCCACTATTGCCCTGTCCATGGGCTATGCATATCTATATATATAAAAGCCTAAGTGACCGTTTTACTGTTCCACTGTCTGAACAGTAGCTATCACATGCGATGACCACCAGGGGGCAGATGCTCCAACCAGTAGCTATGATGCTCACTGACCACCAGGGAGCAGATGCCTAACACAGGAGATGCCAAGCTGCAGTGACTTGGCAGCTGCGGTTCTCTGGTGACACACCAGGAACCAGAGAGAAGGGAGCCCGATTCCAGGGCATGTCCCCTAAGAACCATCCTCTCACAATCCAGAACAACTCTGGGATGTTGGAGAACCGGTTTTGGCCCAATCCCCGAAGGCCAGGCCAAGGGACCCCACTGGTGCATGAATCCATGCACTGGGCCTTTAGTAAGTATATAAGTTCTTTAGTTTATCTCTTCTTGTCTTCCCAATTCCCACACCAAGGTATGTCAGTCTGTTCCATGCCTCCATGCTTCAGGTCTTATTTTGTTGGTCAATTTATTCTGTTCACTAGATTCCATAAATAAGTGAGGTCATGTGATAATTTTCTTTCTCAGATTGGCTTATTTCACTTAGCATAATAGTCTCCAGGTCCATCCATGCTATCCTAAAGGGTAAGAGATTCCTCTTTTTTTCAGCTACATAGTATTCCATGGTGTAAATGTCCCACAGCTTTTTTATCCACTCATCTACTGATGGACACTTCGCTATCCTATCTAATAAATAGGGAATATGCTAATTGACCCTTACACCATCGCAAAGATGGTGGCACCCACAGCCAATAAGGAGGGAATATGCTAATTGACTGCCCCACCCTCAAAGATGGTGGTGCCCACAGCCACAAGATGGCCGGCAAGGGAGGGCACTTGGGGGCAACCAGGCCAGCAGGGGAGGGCAGTTAGGGGCGATCGGGCTGGCAGGGGAGCAGTTAGGTGGTGATCAGGCTGGCAGGGGAGTGGTTAGGGGGTGATTAGGCTGGCAGGCAGAAGCAGTTAGGGGCAAGCAGGCAGGCGAGCAGTTGGGAGCCAGCAGTCCCGGATTGTGAGAGGGATGTCCAGCTGGCAGTCAGACATCCCCCGAGGGGTCCCAGATTGGAGAGGGTTCAGGCTGGGCTGAGGGACAACCCCCCTCCAGTGCACGAATTTTGTGCACCAGGACTCTAGTTGTAAATAATGTTGCTATGAACATAGGAGTGCATATATTCTTTCTGATAGTGTTTCAGGGTTTTTAGGTTTTATTCCCAGTAGTTGGATAACTGGTTCAAACAGAAGTTCCATTTTTAATTTTTTGAAGAAACTCCATACTGTTTGCAATAGTGGCTGCACCAATCTTTATTCCCACCAGCAGTGAACTAGTGTTCCCTTTTTTCTGCATCCTCACCAGCACTTGTTTGTTGATTTTTTGATGATAGACATTCTGACAGGTGTGAGGTGATATCTCATTGTGGTTTTAATTTGCATTTCTCTGATGATTAGTGACTTTGAACATTTTTTCATATCTTTTGGCCATTTGTATATCCTCTTAGTGGGTTTTATTATTATAAAAAATGTTATAACTGAATA